CCTCGCCAATGGCCGGGCGGGCGGGGCCGCCTTCGAGCCGGAGCGGACAGGGCGGGGCGGGGCGGGGCGGGGCGGGCTGGCGACGGCGGAGGCTCGGCCGGGCCCCTCCCTCCTCCCCGCCCCGGGCACCGCGGGCGGCGGGTTCGCGCACGTGCCCGGCGCCGCCCTGTCACCCCGGTGCGCCTGCGCAGAGCGGCCCGGCGGGAGCGGGGCTGAGGGACAGGGACCCCCCGGAGCCGGGGCAGAGGGAGTCACGGGAACACCGAACCGATTCGGTCGGAAGAGAGCTCCGGGACCATCGAGTCCAACCTGTGTCCGAACACCACCGTGTCAACCAGACCATGGCACTGAGTGCCACGTCCACTCTTTCCTTAAACACCTCCAGGGACAGTGACTCCACCACCTCCCTGGGCAGCCCCTTCCAATGTCTAATCACCCTTTCTTCCTACTGTCCAACCTAAACCTCCTCTAGCACAGCTTAAGATTATGTCCTCTGGTCCTGGTGGTTGTAGAGACCAACAAGGTTCCCCCTGAGCCTCCTTTTCTCCAGGCTAAACATCCCCAGCTCCCTCAGCCGCTCCTCACCAGACTTGTGCTCCAGACACTTCCCCAGCTGCTTTTTAAAGAGACATCTTCTTGCAATGTATAAAGCAAAAAATAAAACTGCTTCAGGTTAGTTACATGTTGCTCACAGGGAAACATACCTTAATTTCATCACATCGAAAATACAGATAATTGATTGCATACCAGATAAGGAATACACTTGCTTTTTAGCTTACAACCTGAGTGTGTTTTAATGAGATTTCCCAAAGTTCCTACCCAGCGTTACATTAATATTCTGACACAGTAGTTGTATACTCAGCATATTTTTCTCTTGACAGGCTATAAAGAACTCACCATGCATATTTGGTAATAATTTTGAGGTATTGTTTTTTGCATATAGGCTGGTGGAGTTGTAACCACTTGCTGGACAAGCTCAGAAAACTATTTGTTGTGTAAGTGTATTGCTTTATCAATCAAAGCAATTAGTGTGCTGAGAGGGGATTTCCAGAAAAAAATTGAATCACTGTTTTACTATTTTCTCCCCAACTATTTGGCTAGTGCTTTTTTTCTTTCTCTTGATGGAAAATATCTATAATTGATTGAATACCTGAAGTCCAAATGATCCCAAACATACCCAAAGGCTTTAACAGAGGAGGTATTTCTTTGTGGTGACCCCAAGGAGCTTGGCTTCTGGAGCAGGGTTGGTGACAGGGCTGGCTGCACAGCCTCAGTGGAGTCTAAAATGTAAACCTTCAATTTTCCTGATAAAATACTCTGATAAAACAACTTTCCCTTCTATTATTTAAACATTAGTAAGAAAGTGATTACCACAAAGACATCTTTAAGGTAAACGCTGATAGGGATCTAAAATCCTCTCCCCCAAGGGTAACCCAGGAAGTCGAGTTAAGGAGTTGAGAGTCTGTCCAAGCTCTTTAAGAGCTCCCACCAGTCTCATTGTGTGTTCCTTTACAAAACCAGCTGGGATTCTTTTGCCTGCATGTACTACTGAGCTTTTTCCCTGAGCTGGCTTCGCTGGGCAAGAATTGTGGAGATGTGGCTTATCTTAACTGTTCCTTCCTCTTCCTGCTTGTCTTTCCTGACAGCACCCATTAAGATGTAGAACCATATTCAAATGTAAACATCCTACTGGCCATGTCAACATAGTATATTCATGAATTACTGAGCAGTTCCAAAATCAGAGCAGCAGATTTGAGACTGGGAAGGTCATTTTGTACAAGACCAGAACAGAGGTGGGCCTGTAAGCTCCACTAAACATAATTTTTTCCCACTTAAAGTTAAATATGCTTTGTTGTCATTTGTTCAATATTTTCACTCTATCACTGGCTATATATTGTATTACTGCTATATTAGACTAACATTTTTGAGTGTCTATTAGGTAACAGCCTTTTAAATCTAGCAGGCACTTTTACCTATTGATTTTCAATAAATAAAATTCATTCAGTGTATTAAGATCCACATTCTCAGAATTTATAAACTCTAAGAATGGGATTCAAGCATCACATTTCTCATCCTCTGAACTTACCACAGCATTTCATATTTTATATTATACACACACTTATATCCTCTTTATCAGTTATGAGACTATTTTAGACACTCTTAAATTATCAAGATTAAACTGAGGCATTTGTCCAGCAGTGGGAGTTCAAACTCAGATATCATTTGCTAATAAGGAGAGAAAGCAGAGAAACCAGCTGTTGCAAGACACTGAACTTTTGCCTTTGATCATCCCTTATTTGATTCACAGCCAAAACCAAAGATGTAGGTTTAGCAGAGGATAGCAAAGTTTAGTGGGTGACAGAGAAATGGAGAATAAGCCATGTCAGTCACAGCACAGAGCCAACCTTCTACTCCTGTAGTAAGATACTACCCCAATTTAAAGCACTTTTAAGTCCTCTTTTGGATTGACTATCGATGCAATGAAATACACCTTTTTTCCTGCCCTTATTGCAAGAGAAATAGGACAGACAAATGGCAGAATACATAATAAATTTGGAAAATTATTAATATTTTACATATTAAGTAATTTGTATTGTATTTCTCAGATTTGCTTTCTAAACTGGTTTATTCTACAGTTAATGTCCCCTATCTTCAGGCTGTCTTGCTTAGACATCTTTGACTATTTACTTTTCCCATCTTAATTCTAAAGATGCAGTGGTTTGTAGAGACTATTCAAACTGTGCCTTCAGTCAGGTCACTCCTTACTCTTTTCTTATTTCAGCAAATTGAATGGTATTGTTACCAAACATTTTCCAGAAAAAAATAATTCTGATAATTTCAAAGAATCCTTGATGCAATTTTGACTCTTAAACCCTTAAACCCTCTTATTAGATTTCCTGTTGCATAGCACAGTACTCTTCCAGTTGCACATTATGTTCTAATAACTTAGTATTAGAAATAAGTTACAGAGTCACTTAAGAAACTCTATTTGTGGTACAATAATATTTTCACCCATCAAAACATATATTCTACAAGGATAGGATGAACATAGCAAATTTAGGAACTACAGAAACAGTAGAGAAGACTATTTTAAGTTACTTATTACCATTTTAAAGGAACTGTCAGGGAGAAGACTTTCATATAATGAATCAAAGATTATATTAACTTAAATGTCTTCAGCTTTTTGTCCTTTGGCTTTTGATCCTGCCTTTCAGACACAAAATTAATACACACAATGCAGGAAATCTTTTAAAATTCAGAATCTAAACACACAGGCTGTATCTGCTCTGGTATTTGTATTTACATATCCAAGGAATATTTACACAAGCGATGCTGGAATGTGTACATAATTCCATTAGCATGTACAATGCAAATGAATAACAGGATCTCTGACAAGACAGATAAAAACCAGATAATGCAACTTAAAACTTCACCACACTTCTGGCTTGTTACATTTTAACATAAATCTTCATATTCCTATCAAAGGGTTCATTTGGATTTCTAAATATTTAACGATGCTATCCCACTTTTTCACTCAGCGCTTGAAAGCACTTTGCACTTCAAAAAAAGGCAAGGAAATGTTGTTATTTCTACTCTGCAAATGTAAAAACTGAGGCAAAAAGACTATTTTTTTCAACTCTAGTATTTCAAATCTCAAACTTTTTCATTAAGTTGTCCACCAAAATGCAGGGCCTCATCTTACACTCCTTTCTTCTCCAATGTAGAGCCTTGGAAATAAGCTGGCTCAGCACTTTAAATTTGGGATACGCAATTTAAAATTGGGATACACTTTAAAATTGGGATCCACAATGCATCTTCTTGTACTTTCAAGTGACTGGCACTCCATAAGAAATGTGCTTCTAAAATTACATTTGCCCAGGCAAAACAATGAACAAAAATGAAACTATGATAGTATGCTTAAACTACCAATTACACATTCGATATATCGAGGAAAAATAATATTTATTGAACAGGAATATTGTAAACATGGTAATATGTCTTATCATTACAACCTGGGAAATAAAGACAGGACTCGATATTTCTGAAATTTTGTCAAAAACTCTTTATTTTATAAAAATCACAGGATCCACTTAAAAGCTTGACTAAAAAGATTTTGGTAAGAATTAATCAGAAAATAACTTCAGTTGTCACACACCAGATGAGTTTGCCACTGTAACATTACTAAACAGGTAGAGTTTATTTCAATAACTGTCTGTGCTTAGATTTATCCAACTAACTGGACATTATTACACCCACATACTGATGTTGTTCTTGCCACGTGACATTCTGTATGAAGTACTGACAATATGGTACCTTCTAAATAATTTTCTCATTTAGAGCCAGAAAACTGCATCTACCTTCCACCACCAAGAGATATTCAGAAAGCCAGTGAGGACTTATGGAGCTTTTTCCACATCCAGCAACACTGGATGAACAGCATTAAAATGAACAGTATTTTAATCTTTTTCTTCTTTAGCCCTACACAGACTTTCACAGGCAAGTTAATTACTCTTGCCTCTGCCTGTGGTAGCTGTCACATTTGTGTTATATTGGCCAGCCAGACACCATCTAACTTTTTCCTTCATCTCCCTGCCATCCATGAGGGATGTCCACCAGAATCTTCCAGATTAACTTCAGAGATCTGCTGTTTTATCAGGATGGCAAAATTAATCCACCAGTAAGCTTAAGAAAATACAGTTCCCTTGAATTCCAGGTGCTGGGTTGGGATTCCTTTACCTGATCAGCCATATCCATTCTTCAAGTGAGTTTACAGCGATCAGTATAGACCAGAAATTACTTTAAATAAAGTAAATAAGGATAACACCCATTAAAGGAAAACGACCAAACTAGGAAAGACTCTGTGTAGGCTCAGCATTAAGGCTGAATGCAACTTATAAAGAGCTCAAACTGTCTTGCAATTTTGCTTTTTCACATGAAAATCATACAAACTCTTTTATGGCTGAGCTGAGCAGAAGAGGCACTGCCCAAGGGGGAGGTATTTAGTGTACAGCTGTCACGTGGCTGTTCTGGATGGAAAAGGGAGCCCATGTCAGGACCTGCATGACTGCAATGCAAAGTGGAACCAGGCAGATCAGGTTGAACATGGCATCGTGGAGATCTAAAAATGTCCTGAGGAAAACATGGAAACACAGCTTTCAGTATGAAGATTAACTTTCCTGGTCAATTCACAACACGTTATTTTTAAAGCAATCCCATTCTGTACACATAGACATGTTACTGTACAGTCAATTCTAAATCAAAGAAAAAAAATATATATCTCAGGTATCAAATGTATTTAAATAGTATTTTATAATTCCACATACAATTATGTGGAATATATCTTATTTTGTTTTCTCCTTTCATAATAGGTGTGAGAAAATCACACAATTAGCACTCAAGGAGTTAATTTTAATACACTCTAGGCAACCTAAGAAATCCTGTTCATTACTTTAGCACTCATCTATATTATGTAATATAGAAATCAATTTAAGCAATATCATCAAATTATAGAATAGAGCATCTGAAAAGCTTTAGTAAGACTGAAAAATCTGGAAGAAAAGCAGAAAACATTTCAAGCAAGCATTTTAATATGAAATTATTTAGGTTAAAATCTTTGCTGTCCACATAGTGTGTTGTTTTAGTTGCTGAGTGCTAGACAGAAGTGATGATTAATGCACAAAATTCAGGTGTGGTCTAAAGGGCTATTTGAAATATCAAGCCCTGTTACATTTGGGTTTAAAATAAATGATTACAAGATAATATAAACCATAAAAAAATACATGTGAAATTACCACTCATTTTCATTTATTCTAATGGATACGTGGTAATTCCTCATCTAAATCTTCTCTAATGAATAATAAATAAAAGCATCAACAAATATGACTAAAAAAAAAAAAGCAGGAATTAAATGTCCCTTTTATGAACAGTATGGTTGCTGACAGCTCAAAGTGTGCATTTTGGCATTCATCTGGTAGCTGGAATCATTAGCTACTGGCATTCTGTTAATTATTGGATTCTAATTACTTAAATATCAGGAAAGTCAACTCAAGCTGAGAAACAGCCCCTAAATGAACTTTCTCTCCATGAGGCAGTTTATGTTACTTTCTCTTTTTTTTTCCTTAGCATTCAGGGATGAGAGAGGAGACTCACAGAACAGCTATGGACAGCCAAAAAACCTGAAAATGTGTGGAGAAAAAAACCCAAACAAAACCTCCAGCAGGTTTTTAAATAAAACCTACGAGTTTCTCTGAATCATAAAAGAATTGACTCGTGTCTCATCCCTCCATTTAACAGAGAAAATACTTGTAACCTCCACCACAGCCCAGATTTATTCCTTAGTACATTCACACCCTCATAAACGAGCACAGTTTATCTCAAGTCCTGTACCTGCTGATGCTTCACAAGAAAGCAAAACCCACAGGCTCACAAGTGAATCACTTCACCACTTGGGCAATTGCATTTAGGACTGGGAGTGTTCACTAGCAGGCCACTGGTCCACAGCCAAGCTTTATTGGCAGTGACAATAATTTACCACTTGGATGTTGTTTACTGGCCTGTTTTCAATTGCATTCCCAGTCCACCTACAAGGAAACAAGGCCCACCTTTGGCCTGTTCCTGCACATTGAAGAGGATTGCAGTTTTCAGTACTAGAATTATTCTGTCTTTATACATGGACTTCAGGAAGGACAAAATAAGAAAGAACATCTGCAAAATCACTCACACTGGTGGCAATCCTGATTTGGTTTCAGTGGAACAATACTGATTTAAGAAAATAGTATTACCTATTGTACTGTAAAACCTAAAGTCATTACAGGAATTATGAAACATATCTATAGTACACAAAATAAAGAACAGGAAAATATTTCATTGAGAGACTGGGATAAATCAAGAGCAGAACTCAAATTTCATCATAATTACAGCTGAACAAGTAACTTCAGAAATTTCCATATCTACCTTTTTTTTGCACACACAGGAATAAAATATACAGTCTTTCACTAAAAGCCCTAACATCACTCTGAACAGAATGTCAGCTAGTCCAGTAATTCAGTATGAAAGCATTAACAGTTTAAAGTGCCTTCAATAAATAATGAAGAGTTGCTGCCAAATAACTTCATTTTGAAGGATGAATTTGAAAAGCACTGCCAAGAGAAGCTGGTGGTAGTTGCAGTGGCTCTCCAGAAGAGGGAGGTTTTAAACTAGGGATCTTTCCCACAGCAAAAAAAAAAAAAAAAAAAAAAAAGGCAAGCCAAACTAAAAAAAGAAACCCCAAACAACGACAAAAAACCACCCCAAGCTATATAGGGCAGGTAATGTTTTGCTATGATGATGGAACAAAAGAAAAATCCACAAACCAGGACTGCTCCATTCTGCAACCTATTGTTCAAATTTTAGGTATATTAAAAAATACTTCTTTAACTACCTTCCACTACAAATTGTTTAACTGCTGTGCAGTGACCACATTTCCTAAGGATGTGGTATAATGTGAGCAGAGGGGAAGGATCACCTCCTTTGACCTGCTGGCAATCCTCTACCCAAAGCAGCCCAAGATCCCAGGTCATCCCATTTCTCCAGCCTGTCAGATGCCCCTGGATGGCAGCATGACCCTCTGATGTATCAGCCACATCTCCCACTTTTGTGTCATCACCAAAATTCCCGAGGGTACATCCTGCCCCATCATCCTGGCCATTAAGGAAGATGTTAAACAGGACTGGGGCCGGTACAGACCCGTAGGGCTCAGTTACTGACCCCACGGAGACTTCCTGGCCCTGAGCACCACCCTCTGGGCCTGACAGCTTTGAACCCATCCCACTGCCTGCTCATCCAGCCCATATTTCAACAGCTTGTTTAGGAGGGAGGCAGTGCCAAAGGCCTCCCTGAAACCCAGGCAGACAATTCCCACTGCCTTCCCTTGGCTACCAGGCTGGGCGTTTTACTGCACGGGTTTATCAAGTTGGTCAAGCATGACTCCCTTCCCCTTGGTGAAGCCATTCTGGCTATTACTGATGATTTTATTGTCCTTAATGTGCCTGGAAATGGTTTCCAGGATTAGCTGCTCCATTATTGTTGCTACAGTTTAACTTTCAGTTCAAGAAAAAATAGATAATTGAGAATGCAGCAAATATCTTATGGGTTTGGACTGCATCCTCTGTCTTCTTCCAGGAAACAACATTGCTGGAAACTCTCAAGACATATTTATTCAGGGCCCAAACATCTTTTTAATGCAGAATGTGTGTTATGTTCACAACTCACTGCCACTACACCTAATAAAGCAAAGGCTTTCCAAAACACTTAATAGATATTGCCAGCTTTGGATAAGAAGGAAGGACACAGCTGAGATGGTATTAGCATGAGTCATAATACTTCATTATATATACTTCACCTGTGTGAAATTCTTTTTTTTTTTTCCCCAAAACAGCTTGAGCATATTTTAAACAATCTCTTGAATTCAGTTTCTGTTTGTCCTCAAACAACTTTGTCCTGGGGCAAGTGTGTTTTAGCTGCCTGCCTATGGCTGAAAGATGAGATCAGCTGATAGGTTTTTAATACATATAAGTAATTTTAGCTCAGTCAATGGTCTGAGTACATTGCCATGGGCAAACTGACTCCCTAGAAACAACTTGGAGTAGTCTGGTCTATTTGTGTCCATGCTGAGCTCCATTTGCAAGCAAAGGACATGCCTGTTCACATATATATGTAGAGAAAACACAGGCAGACTGCTTCATACTTAAGAAATTATTTTTGAAGAGACGGACAAGAGAAATACATAATATAGTTCAGGTGCTCTGATTAACTCATCTCAGCTTTGTGTCTTTATGCTGTTCCTGGCCTTAGTGAAATAAATCAGATTTCAGCATGACTCAAGTGAAAATACAGGTTTTAGAGATTAAGCATTCAAAGTATTTCAACTCTCTATATAATAAATTTATTGTTGCTATAGTCCAGGGGCTACTTACCGGGGATAAAAAGATTTATAGCTACTGTGATTTAAAATCCATCCACAAAGGGATCATTTCTCTGATTGAAAGGCATCAGAACTGCAGTTGTTATGTTTCAAGTCAAAATTTCTCTGAATCATCGAGATGAATATATTCAGCCCTCTCATATCCACATCCAGTTCAAACTACTGCTCTTCTGCAAAAATCACTCATCTTATTTGACATTATAATGAGGTTCATGTCCTCTTCACATCATCTCACTGGCTATCTACAGACTGCATTAAAATAAAATTAACTGTTCTCACACAGCCTCAAACTGCCTTTGCTTCTGTCTGGATCCATTTCTGAAGACCACCTGTTGTTCTTTTATGTAATGCTTGTCCTCTTACATTTTTTTAGAAAATTCCTCAAATGTGAAACATTTTCCCAACCTTTGGTGACACATAACCAGACCTTTCTCCTTCACGGGCTGTTTCCACAGAAGTCCATATAAATTTCTCTGTATGTATTTTTAAAGCTGTTTAATCAGAATTTGGGAGAGCTGTGTAGTTTCTCAGGATATTCATGCTGTTCTCTCAAGTAAATCCTAATCAGGACTGATTGTTGCCTTTTAATCCTGCCTTCAGTTATTCCTTACGTTTCCACTTCCTCTTGATGATCATAAATACAGCCTATGACCCTTTCAGTGTATTGATTCCCTGTTAATTTGGTTTTATAAAAGCCCCCACATGTCCAACAGGTTAACTAGCAACCACAGCTTTCTGGTGTGCATTAAGGTCTCCAGGGACTGCAGTGAAATCATTAGCATTAGAACTGAAGTGGAACTGAAGCCAAAATTATACACTCCTACTAGAGGCAAATTCCCTCCCTCCAGTTATTATACTGCTTTCTCTCAAACAAAAATGTATCTTAAATGCAACCCTATTAGGATTATATATTCAAGGAAGTACATTTATGAGATAAACAAAAAGCAGAAGCCAACAACATGCATCTTAATAAGACCTATTAGGTGATCTCAAACATAAACCAGGGGATGGTGAACTACTGAAATGTATCCTTTGCTTTTCCAAATTAGGTAGATAGCAAACTAATTGCTGATCAATTTGCTTTTTAGATTACAGGAGTATTTCATGATAATTTCTAAGATTTAAAGTATCCCTTTTGAACTCACCTTGCATCAGGATGATCAACATTATTCAGGTTCCTATATCCAAACTGATTTAGTACTTTAACCACAAGCATTGGAGCCAAAGATTGGGCAGGTTTGGTAAATAAAGCATTGGTACCAAAAACCATAGAGGAAAGTGGTGATCTAAAATATTTAGGGGAAAAAACAAATTAATGCATGACAAAAACTTACTAGAGTATTAAGTACAATAGTGATTTAAAAAATCCTGATAATATGCAAAGGCTAAATATCATGATCTTTAGCTTTGTCTAGTTCACACATTATAGCAAACAGATCTGCTATCAGAATGAAATTTAAATTTATTTGGAAATGAAAGGTAAAAAACCTCTGGGGTGTGTGTGTCTATATATATATTTGTATATATATAACTTAGCCCTGATTATGGAATGACTTGCACTCAGGTTCAACTTTGTGCACTTTGAGTAATTACTGGAGTTAGATTAGAGTGAACAGTGCATGGAGAATTAATTATAGCTTCAGGTTTTCTATGCATGAGGCCAGAAAAGGAGGCTTTTTTTTTCCTCATGGAAGCAATAGATTCACTTTTGAGGAGCCAGTTCTTCAACAGAGTGACCAGGGCTGAATCTGCACCTGCATAAACATCGATGGAACCAACAGGAAATTCTGTGCACTTTGATAAAAGTCTGAAACATCCATGAGTTGCAATATGCTATGCCACAGCAGGTTTAATCACTTTTATTTCAGAGAGATAATGGCAACCCACAAGAATCAGAAGGACTTGGCTTAAATTACAGTATAATAAAACCTAGAAGTTACATAATAATCTGTTTAAATTACTCTGCTGAAGTAACTGCAGGAAACTTTACTCAAGTTCTTATCTTTACTTATGTTAAGTTGCTCTTACAAAAAGTACTCCTGTATCAAGGATCCCAGATCATTTACTGTCTTTACTTTGACACAGTTTAACCTATGGAAGAGTAACAAGGCAAACACAGCACATTTAAAGCAAACCAGGAACGACGGACATACCTGCGCTTGTGCTTTACTAAATCTGCATCAACAATATCTGCCAAAGGCAAATTGAACAAACTAAAGGAGGCTTGTACAATTACCCTAAAGAAAAACAAAGTATTTAAGATGTTCACAGTCCTCATATTCACTTCCATAATAAAACTGTAACTGACATTCTGACACCCCACCCCCCAATGCTGACATTTCCCCAAACACACACAGCTGAGATGTTCTTTAAAACATGGTGATGTATCTGTTTAAGCAGGAGTTGTGAAAGCATTACTAAATCTGTTCTTGGCTGAGAATTAGAAATCAATATGCAAACCAAAAAGGTGGTTTTTTTTTTTTTTTGCTTTTTTTCCTGGACATTGGTGAAAAAGGTCATGAATACTTTGACGGTAAATGACATTATCAGTAAATGTCATTTAAAATGACCAAGAGAAAAGAAACACCTTAGAAAAAGGGGAAACTGAAAATTTGCTCTTCAAATCTCAAAAAGACATGAGCATTGCTGGAAAGACCACATGGAAGACAAACTTCAAGGTGGGAGAATTAGAATACTAAGAATATTTTACATGCATTCCTATATATGTATTTACAGTGTATATATAGATATATCTATACACACACACATATATATGCATTTAAACACACACACAAAGCTGATTCTTAACAAATTGCTAAATTAAAATATAAACTCAAATATTACAATTTCCATGTCTTATTAAAGTTTGGGTGTGATGAGCTTTTACTAACAAGAGGCTTTGGACAATTAGCACTTGAAACACAAAGTCTTTAGGTACCTTAGAATTTTTTCCTGGGGAAATCAAAACACATCTTCATCATTTAAAATATGCAGGTAATGAAATTCAATTTATTGTTCACACAATTCAGTGTTACAGTAGCTTGAGACTGAAAATAAGAATGAAAACAAGGGGGAAAAGAAAAGATGAAGCAAAGGAGGGTGGGAAAGAATGTGTAGAAAGACAACAATGAAATAGAAAACGAAGAATTAAACTGCTGTAACATTATTCTGATACAAACAGCTCTTTATTTTTAAATAAGGTTTTCCCTGTATCATAATATACTTTTTTTTTAAGCAGAAATTAAAAGCTGAAGCAGAATAAAATAAAAGCTGAGAAAAGTTGTAACTAGAGTTTCAACTTTTCTGACAAGTCAAACAGAATGAAAACCATAAAAGCCACGGCAGAATCTTCATGGTACTAAAAGCAAGTGTCCAGTGTGTTACAAGTATTTAAGCTGTGTCTATGAAGAGGGGAGTGTATTTACTTACATGTTTGTTGTGAGGTAAAATGCCAACAGGTAATAGTGTTCTTGCCCTAGAAAAAACATGACAGCAGCAGCTACTCCTTCATAGTAAAAGGAAAACAAGATGACTCTGTAATAACCAAACTTCTTCAACGAAGCATGACTGAGAAGAACGAGGCACTGAAAAGATAATAAGTACAAATAAAGGATGACAAGTATAGTACAGTGTCTCAGCATCAGGAGAGCTATAAAACACAGACCAGGCAGATTATTACCACCCATTAAAAAAAAACAAAACCCAGCCAACAACCCTGTCTAGGAAATTCAAACCAAATAAAAAAATAGAAATTGAACAGAGAGCTGTCTACTGGCTCATTCTTTGCTACCCCTACCAGGTACAAACAGTCTCTTTCCACTCAAAAATCAGCTGAGAACTGCTATACCCTGAGGAAAATATTGTTTCCCACATTGGCTAACTATTGTTAAATGCTCATTATCTTTATTTTTGATATCCCTTAAACAACTAACTTTGCAGTGTGTTAACTGTAAACCAAGCATCTCACCATTTGAATTTTAACTGTCGATAGGAAATACTTTCAGGAATTGTTTTTCCATTAATATTACTATTTTCACTGACATTTATAGAAAGTAAGCATGACCCTTTAACTAAAAAAAAAACCAAAACAGTAAGCTCACCAAGATAGCTTTATCTAAGTAAGTTAGAGATTTTACAAGCAAGCAGAGAAAGGCAGATGCCAGAGGACAATGTGTATGGCTGAATTTTAATTTTGCCACTGTTAGCAAACAGTAGATTCTGAGAATCTAGTGGCAGGCAAAGTCATGAAAACGGTATTAAGTGCTGAATACAATATGAACAAAATGTAAATTCTTCTATATTGTTCCTCACTTTCCACTTTAAATAGGACATTTTGTGATGAATTACGTTCTTTTTATTATATGAGCCTGTGGCACGATCTTCATGTACGTGGTCCTCATCACTGTCACAAAAACACAAACTCTACAACAGAGATACACATTTTCTCCTTTCTTCTGTGTTACAGAGATGGACTGTGTAATATTCAGAAGAAGAACAGGAAAGAATTCTCCTTGTACATTTGTTCCCACGTTGAAATGCTTTAACATAAATTAAACCAGGATGCTACGGTCAGACAAAGATGACCGTGGCAAATGCTATTGTAAAACAGCCCAAGATTTCTACTTGAACCCATGATCAGGGAGGTAAAACAAATCTGGGAAGTTGATACAAGAAAAAAAATCTCATTCTAAGAAACTTAAACATACTCTTCCCTCTGGCTGTTTTCAAGGATTTTGGAGAAAAGTGCCTCCACAAGAAATAGTGAGGGATCACGAAATGCCTGCTATTGTAAACACCACGATCCTGGCTCCCTGTAATTGCCAAATAACCCTGTCTCAGGAAGTACTTACGACTTAGAAAATTCTTTATTCCTTGCATGTTTCTAAGACTGTGTATTTCAAAGGCAAATACTAACTTAATGATGCAAATTTAGATTTGTTTGCCTATGTTACAGCAACATTTTCCTTGTAGGCAGGTTGTATTCTTCGCACCCACTATTAAAAGGGACCAAAGCAGAAGCTGAATTCTAGTTTAGTAGAGGCCACTGAAGCAGAGTTCATAAAAAGGAGCTTTATTTTACAAGGGTTGGCCGTTTTTCTAGTAAGTGAAGTTCAGGACACTGCCATCAGAGAATTCCCTTATTATATCTTGAGCTCAAAGGGACAAAACCTGACAAAAATAAGGTCACAGCAAACTCTCTATGGTTCAGTGACCTTCCAGACAAAGAGTCTCTGGGGAGCAGGGAGACACATTTTCTCAAAGATTGGTTGTTTCACATTGTCACACTGATTTTATCAACAAAAGTGATTGCTATATAGTCAGTGTAACATTATTTAAGATTTCCTGTTTTCTATAGTTTCTGATTTATTTCCAAAGTTCATTATCTAATTGAGTTACAAGGAAAAAACCCCAAACTATTAAACCTGTGATAAGGATAAAAGCTGAAATTACAGGAGTTATGGAACAGAGAAGGTATGTTCAGGGTTTGTATGTTATATATGCAAAAGCCAAAATGGTAACTGAAACTGAGCTGTGAATTCCAGTTACACTTTCATTTATCTTCTTTTACATATTATGTACCAAAACCCATTGCAATTTAATGAATGTAACAGCCTGATTTTGAGAAATTCTGAAAACCATCAGCACCTGTGATGAACCTCAGGATACTCAGATGTTGAGTATCATGGCTTTCAACATCCAGCAAGTAAACACAGTGAAAGTTTTAAAAGGTTCAGAGAAAGGAGTTAGGAGGGAATGAACAGAAGAATTTTTTATTCACTGCAGAGAAGTATGTTTACATTCTGTGGGATGTATTTTTGCTGCTTTTCTTGTCCTCATACATTATTCTTTCGGGTTCTCTTTCTCTTTTCCAGTTCATTACTCCTCCCCTCAGCCCTGTCTGGGCTCTTAAAAGTATGTCTCTCTCTACCCCATAAATGTAGCTGACCAAGAGAGCAAACAACAAAATAAATGGGAATGTAGATTCTCCAAAAGCAGCTATTTGGAGTTTTGTTTGGTTTCCATGACTGAGATACCACATATTTTCAACAAGGCTTTTAATACCTAATAATTTTTCCGGTATTTTGTGCAGTTCATCTCAGAAACTTCATGAAGAAGAGATTAGTCTTTCATCTGTAATACACACTATTACAAAACAAAACCAAAGAAGAAAGAATTCAGAATTCTGTAGATTTTGCTTTTAGAAACATTTTATCTTGACTATGTTTTCCATTCCTTTATACTTAGGTATTATAAACCCTGTAGGATACAAAACATTCATTCCTTGCCTCCTCATATCTCACATTGTTCTAAACATTCTACCAGCCTGCTTGTCTGTTCTCACTACCCCTTACACTTGGGCAGCCTGCACAGAGGGACTTTTTTCTTCTAGAGCACTGCTGAGCCAGATTTGTTTTTCCTTTTGGCCAATGCCTTCTGCTAGATACAGCATTTTTTCAAGTGTAAAACGGATACTGTAAACTAGTAACACACCAGGTTTTCATACTTCAAAATAAAAAAGTGTAACTGCCTACCTGAGGACAAATAAAACCCGCTCCATACATGATACTTCTGACTGAGGAAGAAAGGACATCCGTAGGAATAAGATTATCTGCAAAGATTATCATGAAATTGCTGTAGAAGGCCAGGTGGAAGACTTGGAAGAAGTTCATTGTGACAAAAAATAAAAAGTTCTTCTCTGTCATAATCTGTTTGGTCAATGAAACCACTGAGGCCAAGGAGAAAGCTCCCTCACTGTTTTCCAGGTTAGCACTCTCCACATGAATTTCTCTCTGCTCATACTGGCTGGTACTGTATTTACCTGTGCAACACATACAAGCTGTCGCTAGTGCCGCGATCAAAACAGTGAAAGCCTGGAAATAGGCAAAGTTTTCCATGTTATCCGATATGAGCCCACAGAAGAGGATGCTTGTGGCTCCAATTAGCGTTGCTACTTGGTTGTACTTGATGAGCTGGAGCCTGCTCTCGTGCCTGGTCGAGGTCTCGGCAAAGAGCGCACACTGCGCCAGGAGCACGAAGGTGAGCAAACCGTCAAAGGCACACAAGGCAACGACGAGGTGGAAACCACAGAGCCAGTCCCCGTCCTCGTACTGCTTCCAGGGAAACCAAGGGAGCAGGAAGGCCAGCCCGTACAAAGGAGCTCCGTACAGAATGGAGAACTGGCGTCTGGCGCAGCACCGCAGTTTGGAGTTGTCTTGGATGTAGCCGAAGAGGGGATCGTTGATGGCGTTCCAGATCATAAACACGACCTGCCACAAACGAGGAACACACAAGGGAATGGAGCCTTAGTGTCGTTTTTCTAGAGAGGTTACAAAAACACAGAAGTAATACACGTTTGTTTAAAATAAATCTCTATTCAAAGAATAAATAAAGATGAAAGCTCTTCTGGTCAAAACAGACTAGATCAAATTCTTAAGGATATTTAGAGGTTTATAGAAGTCACGAAAAAATAAGATGACTAAGTAGGCAGGTGGTAACCAACTATATGTGAAATAAACTCCTTGTCTCCAAGACTTCACTCTTTCAAAACCTTATATATATGGGCTTTCATCCTGCAAAGCCCAGATATTACTCTCACAGCAAGTTAATTCAAAACATGAGCTGGCCCATTAGTTTCAGGAGACCATTTACGACAAGAGTTACTCACGTGGATAATGACTCCCAGAATAAATGCAGTGTTTAAGTACTTAAACAGTCCATAGGAAAGCACTAATGTCAAACTTATCTATGGAGCTGAGATGCATGATCAGTCTAGAAAATTACTACAAGCTATCAAAGTTAAAAATCTTTTCAGCAATTAAAGTCTGGAGATTTTTACTCTACAGCCTCTTAACGATGTGCTTTATGTGTACTTTCAGTTGCTTATGGATTAACTAAATTAAAAGTTAATTTACTGTTAATTATTTACAATGCATCCAAAATTAATTTGTCAGCAAAAAAAATCACTTTGTTGTAATAGCACAGATGCACAGCACAATATGGTAATCAAAGTATTCCGTTGTACAATACCTGGGCTTGATTAAAGGCTCCTTCTGAAATTTTGTATCGGTTTAGGAAAAGCTTAACGTAGTAGAAATTAAAGATACTGTTCATCATTCCAGCCCCTAACGTAGTCATGGAATATGCCAGAGCATTAGGATGAATCCCCCAAACAAACTTCATCTTCCAAAAGTACAGCTCTCTTCCTCCTCAAATTACAAAAGAGAATTACAACAGTTAGTAGAATAATTTTCCAAATTAAAATATCACGGGGGATTTGATTGTTTCAGAGGTGTGGAAATGGAGGAAATTTCCTCTTCTTCCTTCCTTTTCTTTTAAATGAGAAACACATTTTACTGAGCTGTAAGACACTGAGCCTAAAACTGAACAGATGAAAAATAACAAGTCAGTGCTTAAAAATCAATGGAACAAGTGGACAAAAATTTAAGAGTTCCTTCCTAACTGGTGCACAGACTCCATGTAAAACCTGCTGTTGCAAACACTCACGTTGGTGTAAAGGTCAAAGCAATTGCATACATTTTAGATCTTTCTTGCTAGCTGTGTATTCTTAAAATTATGGACTGTGTAGGAATGAAGTGACTCATATCCTTATGTATTCCACTGATGCAGCATGCACATGGGTGAATATTCAGAGGAATATTTCTTTCAAAGCAAATACCAAGTTTTGCCCTTCTATTTTGAAATGTTAATTGTTAACATGCCATGGAAGCAATACTTTCACCTAATAAACCATAAAACAATCAAAACACCTATTAATTAACATTTTCATTGTATAGAAGGCTGCATGTAAATAAACCTAGCAAGTAACAGGTACAGCATTATAAGTATGTCCAAATAACAAGAGATTCAGCCCAAGAATACAGATTTCTCTGATCTATCAATCAGATATTCAGCCAACAAATTTTTAAGATGCTGACTTTTTCCATCTATCCAGCCATTAACTTAAGCATGTTTGGTATAAACTGTGCCATGAAAGAGCCAGGTCCAGGGAACCTCTACCTAATAAATCTGAGTAATGACTACCTGATGTAGACCTTGACCATATTTGATGCTATAAGCCCAACACAAAAACACTCCCAAGTATGTGGGTTTAGCTGAGGCTTTATTCATCTTTACATCTGTTGAAGGAGGCTGTCTGTCACTGATTTCAAGTCCAGATTTCAGCCTTACTATGCACATGAACTCAGAGCCTTACTACCTGCTGTTTGTCAATAATTCACACTTTGCCCCCTGCATACTAACAATTTTATCCTAAATGCAATTTTCACATATCCATCAGAACACCTAGTTTGAATATCTGCTTGATCAGCAGCTCCCTGAACTCCTCATAAAAATAACCGTGGAAGAAACAGGAAATGAAAACCAAGGCCATTTCCAGCCTTCCTGTGGTTTACAAGCCAGGCTGTTGTGCACAAAGATGGGAACTTCCCAATCATCAGGCAAGGGCCAGGCAAAAGCCACAAATCCAGCAAGAACTGGAAAAGATGGAACAGTTTTCCCACCCCCCCAACACAGAGGATGAACCTTTGAAGAGCAAATAAAGTGTGGATGCAGTTTTGCATATATATATGTAAGATGCTCTGATATGAAACATGATGCAAAGAGTAGATAACTTCACAGCTAAGAAAAAAAAAAAATCAAGCTGGCAAACAACTTAAACCTAGGCTTCTTTTATTAAAGCCAGCTTATTTCTAAGAATATGACTTTTTTTAAATACTCAAGGATGATTGTGATGTATATCTTCAAGTTTATTTTTTCATATTCCTACAGCTGTAGAGACAATTCCACTTTCAGGGAATGGAATGTTACGTTTTTATAGCAAGTTTGGTTTCACAATCTTTTACTGAGAAACCTAAAATGAAGATTAAAGTTATTGAAAAGGTGCCCAATTGAAATGCCCATTTTTGAAAATAAATTTGATCTTAACATGAAAATCACTACAGTGTGTTGACATGTGTCATATTTCTTTTTTCAAGTCTCCACAAATACACTCAATGAAGTGATTTATATAGTAGATATTAGGACTTTTGGAAAGGTAGACGTTTATTCTCTATTTCTACCTGGAGCCTCCTGCACAGGTCTTCCAATGGAGAATTAGGAGACTGCCCTTTCCTTCAAATTCCACGAGCACCAAGAATTAACTAACATTACCAGCAAACAGCTATTGCTCAAATCAGGTTTGACTCAGTTCCTTCCTACGCACAAATAAAGCTCCCCTCAGCTTCAGAAAAACTGGAAGAAATTTGAAATTTCTTCAACAAAAACCTTCTAACAATGCACAAACAGGTCTCTAATGTCATGACTAATTGTAATATGTAGGATCTGACACAACTCCACACTAATTGGTACATCTGGCCCTGCCCCCTGTTTATGAAATAGGTTCAATTAGAAGTTGAGGTACCACACTTCCTTTCCCAGATGTTCTCTTTAATAGCACTACCGTGAAATCATGCATGAGTATCCTCTCCCTCTTCTTAATAGTCAGCCTTTATATTGAGCAGGTTAAAGCACAGGTGTTGACATTTTGTGACTCACAGAAGGCAAATCGGTTTCAGAAATTTCTGGTGGTTGCAGCTGCGTTAATACACAGGAGCCAAAAGGACGGGCTGTTCGAGAGACGCAGTGTGACATTACCTGCGCTTCTCCCAGCGCTGGATGACAGCTGCTAAAAGAAACTAGAGCACGAGTCTAAAAGAGAAAAGTGTATTCCAAGAGATAATAACAAATGTTGACTGAGGCGCACTAGACATCCTACTCTGTCCTGGGTCCCAAACCGCTGTGCAATGCTCACAGTCCTGACGGACTGGCTGGACACAATTATCTTCCTCATCTTTCTGACGTGACGTGCACCACATTAAGGGAGACCTAAGAACAAACGCTTTCCCGGTCCCGAGGGTAACACCGAGGGGCGATGCTGCCGGAGGTGCCCTCAGAGAGCCCCTGGCACAGCAGGGCTGTGGCACCGCCCGATGCCCGCTCCGCCGGGCGCTGGCTCCTGCCGGCCACGGGGAGCTCGCACGGCTGGGCGTTTGGAGCTGCTCCTCTGTCAAAACTCAGCGAGCCAGGCTCGTTTCAGCTCAGCAGGTCCCCGGACAGAGGACAGGGCTCCCTCCTCCTCGTGAGGGAAAGAGGCGAGAGCGGGCGGCGACCGCCCCGAGCGAGGCGCGGGGATGGAGCCGGCGCTGTTCGGACTGACCCTGCACCTCGCTCTGCCCTGCCCTGCCCTGCCCTGCCCTGCCCACTCCGGGCTCAGCGGGGTGGCTGCCCGCACCTGGGCGCCCCGCCGGGCCCCTCCTCACAGCCTCTCCCCTCAGCGCTCCCAACGCGGGGCGACCACGAGCCCCGGCTTCCCCTACGGCGACTCGCGCTGCCGCACCGCGGGCCGTGCCGGCCCCGCTCCGCCGCGAAGCCAGCGGACACTCTTCAGCAGCCGCTCCCCTCTCTCGGCCGCTCCCAGCACCGCCGACCACCACTCCCTGCACGGGCACCGACCCACCTCCTGTGGCGGGGGCTGCGCACCGCGCGGCGGGGCGGGACCTCATCGCCCCGGCCCAGCCCCCTCTCCGCTCTCATTGGTGGCTCTCTACCAGTTCGCTTTGTGATTGGTGAAGGCTCCTGTCGATCTGCTCGGCGGGCGGCTCCCCATTGGCCGCCCGCCGGGGAGGCGAGGGTGCCGCGTTTGAATCGCGGGAGGCGGGGGGCGGGCGGTGGCTGCTGCCACGTTGCCGCCGGCGCAGCCCGGCCAGAAGGGGGAGAGGTTCGGCAAAGTCCGGAACCGCTCGGCAATGACCGGAGGCGGCTGCTGAGGCGGGGAGAGGCTCGCCCTGCCCCGCTCGGCGCGAGGGGGATCGTCGGGTGGGCGCCGCCGCCGCCGCCGCGCCCGCCCGTGAGGGGAAGGGGCGCGATGCTGGCCGACAGCCTGGTGGAGGAGTTCGAGATCCGCGAGGATGAGCCGTGGTACGACCAGCAGGACCTGCAGCAAGGTGAGCCGGGACGGGGGACAGCGGGGAGCGTGTGAGACGGGGGGTGCGGAGAGCCGCGTGTGTGAGAGAGGGGGCCGTGGGGATCCGCCTCGGAGGTGTGTGAGGGAAGGGGCTACAGCGAACCGGGTTCGTGAGGGAAGGGGCGCGGAGAGCCGCGTGTGCGAGGGAAGGGGCTGCGGCGGGGAGGGCGTGTGAGGGAAGGAGCCGCGGGGGGCGGCGGGGAGGCACCGGCACAGCGGAGGGGCGGCGGGAAGGGCGCTCGGGGTCGCGGGGCGGCGGCGGGAAGGGCGGGTCGTGCCGGGCGCGGGGGGTCCCCGCACGGCAGCGCTTCCCGCCGCCGCGGGATCGCTGTCACCGGGAGAGGCTGCGGCCGTCTTTGTTTGAGAGAAGGAGCCGCCGCAGCCGAGCGGGATCGTGCCGGGTCCCTCTCCGCCCGCCGGCAGGGAAGCGGCTCTCCGAAAAGTTGCACCTTGAACAGGAGGCGAAGCGGCTGCTGTCCGGGGCGGGCGCTGGGAGCACCAGGGTGGGATGCGCTATTGCGCCCTGTTGAGCTCTTTGTAAGGGCTTCCCGTTCGATCAAGGTGTAGTTGTAGCAGTGCTCGATTAGTTGCAAGTCCCTTATTAAAATCTTTTTAGGTTTTCTTATTAAAATACACAAATAACTCCACTACGCCTCACAATTCTACATTTCCAGCTCCTGTATGTCATTCCATCAATAGGTCTTCAAACATTATACGCAAGGGGTAAATCCTGTTCTCATTTCACAGATGAGGAAAGAGCCGCAGGAATACAAGTATAATTGCATTAAAAATCTTCAACAGCCACGATATGGAAAGAATGTGCAATTTCCTTAAGAGCTTAGTGGCATCTATGACTGGTATTTACTTGGTTCTACTTTTTGTTCTTAATCCCGAGTTTGTTTTAAAGGTCAGCTCGAAGCTGTGAAGTGGCTTCCTGCAAACTTGCTTCAGTCTTATGCTTTTTGCTTTTAGATTGAAATACATTAATTCTTGGGATTGGTGGGTGCTGCTGTTCTGTAAACCATAAGGAAAGCTAAGCTGTATTCACACTGAGATCAGGCATCTGACAGCAGAAACTTTTTTTTGAGACAGGAACAGGTCTCTCTAATTGTCTACTATATAAATATCTAACTGTTTGAAAGCTGTATTTAGATACTCTTTGCCCGAAATAGATGTTTTCCTGGCTCTAGGATACAAACAAATCAGTTTAAGTAAGATCCTGAAACCATAGTTGGCTGTCAAAAGGGAAGAGAGTTGAAAATTTGAAGCAATGTTTTTACTATGTCAGTGTTTATGAGATAGAAGACCTACAAAGAGACTTCACAATGTATAACAACTGACTTCTTGCCTTGTTTCTTTACTTTCATCTTTTAATTAAAAAGAGTGAAATAATCACCAGTTGACTCTCTGTGAGCTTTTAAGAAACAGTGTTCCATTCTAGAGGTTAGTGTGCTCTCAACACACAGACAACCTTTTTCTGGGGATTCTCTCTTTAAGCCTAAATGGAAGTGACTAATAGCCTTGCCAAAAGGGAAAGGAGGAAAATAAACAGATGGGCAGGTTGAAATGCAAAGAAGAAACTCCTTACAGGAATGCTGTACTTTATTTCTGGAGTCTGAAAGATGAACTTCCTCGTCCTAAGCCTGAGCTGTGCCTGTGTACGTAAACAGGGGAGTAAGATTGCTTATCAAGGCTCGTGGAACTCCTCACAACCCAAACAATCAGTGCGTGTTTAAAAACTGAGCAGTAGGTTTATGAGAAAACCTGGGTTGTAAAACATTAGAAAGCACACAGAAACAAACTTGTAGTCCTTATCAGCCAGCCTTTGAAACTTGAAATTACGGTAGGGTTTTGGAAAACCTTGACAGTCTGTACGTACCAGGCTTTTGCCTTGACAAGGGAGGATGGCATTTTCTGGCATGCTGTTCATGAAAACAGAATGCTCATGGAATTCTTGTAAGGATGGGAACAGCCATCCTTCTGCAACGTCCATGTTTTGCTGCAGTATGCTGACCTTTGAAAAAGAATTCTTTTCTATGGCTGCTCTTTTTACAGCTTGCTGTTACTCATTTCTACAGAAGAGAGAGTATTCTGAATACAGAATAGGAGATGTGAAACTAAATAAAAAAATTAAGAGTTTATTTTACAGTTAAGTAAACTTCAACTAGGCTTACTTGTATATCTTGCACTACATTAATGCCTTTTGCTCTTTAAAAGAACAGGCTTAGTTTTAGATCAAAAATTCTCTGAATAATTTTGTTAGGTGGGCTGTGAAAAAGTAGAAGAGAAGGATTTTGGTGCTGCTTTTCTCTCTTTTTCACTTATAGTAATGCTGTCAGAAGAGAATGTGAAGTGCTGGTAAGTGAAGGCTGTTCAACATCACAGAAGACGTATCCTTGAAGTCTTGTTTTGTTTCAGAGCCTTCAGATGGAGCTGTTAAACTCCAGCACAACTAATCAGATTTACTAAAACGAAGATCTTAAGATCTGCACACAGGCAGTTTGCATTATTAAAAACCTCTCTGCTCCCATCTTTGTGGTGAAAAGGAAAAATGCATGTCTGTGTCAGAACTTAGCTGTTGCTTTACATAAATTTACAACAGCAAATGCAGTGTGCTTCCAGTGTTCTGCAGTAACTCTCTCAAGAGAAATGTAAATGAACCGTTTTCCTTCTGTATCTGGAGAACATGTGTATTGCACATCTCACTCATAAAATTTGCTCTTTATAAGGCTTAGAAATACTTGACAATGTAGAAAAATGGACACAAAGCAAATTCTTCATTTTAGAAGAGGTGAAATTATTTCAGTTCTTGATTTCTCTGGAGTTCAGGTTTTATTGCGTGTTCCTGAGCACTTCCACTTGTATTCTCCCCCTCAGAAACAAATTGCCCTAATTATAAAATAGCACGTTTCTCCCATTGTAACCCATTTGTGCTTCTGCCAGTCTAATAAACAGAATGAGTGTGTAAGTATGACATGAATTCTGTTATCCAAACTGTATTCCAAGGACCGTGTGGTATGTGCTACTTGATTTAGTAGGTGATGGGGCATTTAAGAATGAAACTGTAAACTCTTATATGTACTTAAACATCAAAACAAACTTTCACTTTAGGAAGGGAAATGACAGCAAGTAATTCCATTATGCATTATGTCTTTAACATAATCCTAAATCCTCTCTAAAGCTCTTATTCTACTCTATTAAAATAAAAGAATGGACTATTTAGTCTTTGCCTTGAATGATGGCAGTATTGCTGACTAGTTGTAAAGATGGAAGCTCCTAGTAAAGATCTGTGTAGTATGAGAACTGGGGAACTGGGACTCCATTTTCTATAGGATAATGGATTTGCTGGATTTGAAAACCACAGTATTCTGTAATGTGACAGAACAAACAGCTTGGTTTCTGACTGGGAGTTACTCTGTCCATCAGTAAACAATATGCAATCTGTTTACAAAATAGGAAAAATTTAAGTAGGACACCTTAAGATTTTGTTATCCAAGTACTTTAAACCCAGCTCTAGCATAGGCTGTGTTTCTTAAGGAGTGGTGCTGTGTGAGGATAACCTCCTAAGTATAACTCAGTGTGCCATGGGGCTCCTAGTTGGACATCTGAAACTCTGAAGAACTCACATGAAGTCTGATTACTTTGAAATATTTTTGTGGCATTTATTCTAAGAACCTGTCCTTAAGGTAGGAAACCAGGCACTGGAGTTGTAAGAGAGAGTGTAAAAGAGTAGCACAGCTGTTGTTTTGCCAGAGTTGGACATCTACAACTTTATAGACAAATGTTTGTACTCACTTGTCCTTGTAAGTCTGATTTTGGTCTTTGGCTTTATGTATGGAGATGGAGTAATCATTTTGGCCAGGCTGTCAAACTGAAGGTTAGCACAAAACAATCCTGGAACAGGGCTGTATCTGTTACAATGCCAGGCTGATAAGATAATTGGGAAGGAGCAGGAAAGACGTAAGATAACATGTTAAAACAAGGGCATTGCAATCAAATGAAAATGGAATGCATTTTCTTCTCTAGCTATAACTACTGATGATAAAATACGTCTCTTTGTTTATTAATTTAAGTCTTCTTGAAGTGAATCAAGAAGATTCTTGACTTTTCTTCTGTCTCTTTCCCATTAGTGATGCAAGTTCTCTGTGAAAACTAACTAGGTTGTATTATGTGCATGCAGGCCATGGTCCAGGTGAGAGGAAGGAGGTGGAAAATTGGAGAGTTTAGAAATCTGTTGGATTCTTAACATGTAACACCCTGCACAGAGTAATTACAATTTTAGCAATAACACCAAGATCTATTACTTTGTCACATTATGTTAGCTTTTAAATTACACGTTTTTAAACATAATAATGTAGAATATCTTGCTCTACTGTTGCTGTTGAACAAATATCAAGCTTCCCTCTAGAACAGAACTGACTGTTCAGATGACTTATTTCTTAATTTGCAACAACTACAGTCACTGCACCCTGGAGGTGATTGAAGATGACTGGAGTGAAATTGAGATTAAGTGCCTGAGAACAAATGACATTTAAAATGATGTTTTGGAGCACATGAAACAATTCTTGTCACCTGGGTTTATGAGTTTGAAAGGCAGAATAGCTGCGTGTCTTCATCAATTTTGTGCCTTTTGATGTTATTCTTTCACCATAAAAAGCATCTGAAACTTTCATTTAGCAGTTTGATCCCGTGTGACCTGAGCTGCTCGGTGGGTAATGGGGAGGAACAGCAAAGCAGGTAGGAGTGCAGTCAGCTTTGGCCTGGGTGTAAATATGGTGAAGTAGCAAACAGCCACCTTGGGCAGAGCTGCTGGAGCAGCACTGGGCAGGCTGTGGGAGGTGAGGATGGCTGGATGTGTCTGCAGGACCTAAGGAGGAACTAAGGAAGCTTCATGAAATAAAAGTGTCTTCTGGGCTTCAGGACTGACTTAGATTTGCCTTATAGATGATATATGAATGTTCTACCTAAGTATAAGCTCACTTTCTTTTTGGGGGAGGAGTTATAATGGCAATAAAAAAAGTACAAGTATCTGATTAACATGCTTTAAAATTAGATTATATTATTGTTTCTCTCACTTACCTGCAAACGTGATGCCTTTGTTTAGATCTTCACCTTGCTGCTGAGCTTGGGAAGACACTACTGGACCGTAACACTGAACTAGAGGAATCCTTACAGCAAATGTATGCAACAAATCAAGAGCAACTGCAGGAGATAGAGGTAAAATATTTGAGGGGTCCAAATGTTAAGGCATCTAGAGCTGCAACATAATAGCTAAAATCTGAATTTTTTGACATTTGATGGAAAATACTGAACAATCTTTCACCATTTCTGCTGCTTTGAGAATTTGAGGACGTGTATAGGTCCATCATACTTAGAACTGTTTCTCTGATTACCAGAAGCTTTGTGCCATTAAATGCCATGTTGGATTTGGCTTGTATAATGAAAAATGACTGGTATTTTTCTTTTTTTGTACACAAAAGTTAGTTCAGTTATTTTTATTGCTAAACTTTGCTGATCGTGCCAGGTAAAATGACATTAAATTATATGATGATAAATACATTAATAATTTAAATTATTATATGAAAATCTTAATGGTTACTGCACTGAAATTTAAATGCTGATAACGCAGAAGAGAGATTAAAGTAAAATCTGGGCTATGTACTTCCACTAAACTGAGCTGTGGAAAAGGAAGCTAAAGTCCATTTCAATGTAAAAAAACCCCTGTACAATGACAAAAAAAGCCAACAAACAAATAATAAACCCCAGAAAATAACCCCACTTACATAGTATCTAAGTATAGGACACAGTGGATGTATTGTTCTGTGTTTTCCAAGGAAAATAAAGCCCAAAATGTATCCATCCTTTCAAAGCCGCTCATCTTTATGTAACAGGGTGGAAAAACCTGGCCATCTTTGGCAATTTCTTTTTTTAATTTTATATTGCCTGTGTTCTTGCAGACCTGGCATTTGTCAGCCTAATGAGATTTCTTCAGCTATTAGAGGGCAATGCATGGTCTCTAATAATTAAATTATTAAATATTCAGTACTTTGCTGACTGACAACATATTGAAAATGTAGTCAGCATTTCATTTTGGTTCTGGTATGAATCACAGGGAACAGGCTGTGACTGGTATACACCAGATTTTTACAAAATCTGAGTTCCTTTGTGCAAGCAGCACTTCTGCAGTTACATATCATATGTGAGTTTTGTACAGCTCTAATTTCAGATTGAAAACCCTTACTATTGATAACAGGTAACTTAAAGAATTCTAAGCTTAATACTTACAGCTATATAGGTGTCTTTAGAGTAGTCATCTTAACACAAATGCAGCATTTTTATTAAGTGATGAACAATTTAGAAGATATTTTTGTTTTGTGTTTCATACTTTGGCTCTTACCTCTGTTATGTGCTAAATGTCATATTTGTTATCCTATTCATTCTGCTACAATGGTTGGAATGGCTGATATTTATATTAGTGCCACAGCATTAAAAAAATGTATTTACTTATGCAGAGACTGAAAATAACTCATTGCCTTGAATAGTTTTTATAAAAAGATCAATTCTTAAGATCTGGAGAGGACAAACACTTCCAAGGTGCTGTACAAATACTGTACACAAGGTTCAACACCTGCATGTCCAACCATAGTTAAGAAAGCCTTTAACACAGTTACAACACACCTTTTGAAATAACACACCATAACTTTGTGATAACTGACCTGGCTCAGGCAGTGGAGCTACTTAATAAACAGCTGCATTTTAGCACTGTCTTGAAATATAGAAAATATATAATTGCTAAGCTACATTGATTTACAGAAATAGTCTAGTGCTATTAAGAATGTAATATCCTGTTGGTTTAAGCCAGTTTATTTGCTTAAGCTGTTCTGGTGGGTCAGTGTTTATTGACTACATAAGAGAGCCTCAGCACCAGGAAGTGTCACCAGTGTCCTTCCAGCAGTGATCTATAATTGGTGTGTTTCGGGGTCAAGTACTTCTGCGGTCACACAACCTCAGACAGGACAGATTAATTTTTTCCCTCAATATCTTACTTTGCCAAGACTTGGTCAATACTACTTTTTGAAGGCTTTATCTGATACCTCTTCATTCTCTTTCCTCCTCTCCCCGCAGCGAGGGTAGGAGATGTGTATTGGGTTGTCCTAGCAGCTCCCTCCAAGAGGAAGGGAGAGGGAGAGAGTGGGAGAACAGTTTTTGGGGTGTTTCTGACATATAAATAGTGCCTGCACCTTTATTTGCCCAGTTTAGTGTGTCGAGTCAAAGAACCTGTAGCCTGTGTTCCTGTCTGCTGCAGTAACATGCTGTCTGCAGTGCCACCACCACCTCTCCTAATCTTCTGTCTTTCCTTGGTGCTGTTTAAAAGTGTAACAGCAACACAAACCTTTTCTTTCTCCAAAGAAGTTTCTCTTGCCTCTGGATTTCTGGTAGAAAAGGGAAAATGAACCCCCTGTTCAAATACCCAGAGAGACCCTCCAGTTGAGGAACTGAATATATTGGCTTACTGGCACAAGGAATTGTTACAGGCATTCACTGAAAGAAATGGGAATAAAGTTGGCATGTGCAAGGTGTAGTACTTTGCTGGTAAAAGCAGTTCAGTCTGTTATTTTCATGCCTGTATTTCTGTCTTGTGGGAATGCAGGAGACTCCTTAGTGCACAGGATACACATGAAAATGGCATATCCTGTCTCTAGTGCCTGAGTTTTCCCAACTTTCAAGTACTTGTCTCTGTAACCTAAATGTGATCTTTCAGCTGCTCCTGTAGCTACTCTGAATTTTTTTTACTAGGTTTTTCAGTGCAGCATATCCTTGTAAATCTTTGGGGTTTTTTTGCCATTAATTCAGGTCTTATGGGTAGCAAAGTCTAGAACTGGCTAAGAAATAATTCTGAAGTATGGCACTACCTTGTCTGCACTGAGAAAGAAGGGTCAAAGGCTGTGGTGTGCTTAAGATTACATCTCATATATTAAATGCTAACATATTAAGCATTTTACAGCTTTGGATCATTATGTCTGACCTCTGTGCTGACACGTGTGCCACTGATTAATCATTGTAGATGTAATAAATGCTGGATTGAAAGGGCAACTTCATTCCTGTTGGAATCTGTTCTTAGCACTCAGACTTTGGAAACACTGACACTGTCCTTTTATCATGTGGTAGAAAGCAAGAAGTCTCAACTACTGCTTTATTTTAGGTGCTCAGTTGCAGGGGAGGTGGATTAAATGTGAACTTCTAAAGTATTTATTACTACACCATCTTTTGGTGGTCTCATTTATACCAGGCCAACTTGACACCAGCCCTGAAGATACTGGAGATGAAAGGTGGAGAAAGTGGTGCTTCACCTCTTCCATTCTTCTAAAACTTGTGGAAAGGCCCATTGTGATCAGTGGTAGCATCTATTGGGGCACCAAAGCCTTGGCTTCTGTGCTCAGCCACTCTCCTATTGCTGAAGAAAGTCTGAGGATCTCCAGCTCCTTCCTTCAGCCATAACCAATAGGGAAAGTTAATCTGAAATGGGTCACATTGAGATTCTGCTGCTAATCTATGTTCTATTTTGGTGTAAATCCTCTGTCATGTGTGCACAGGCTACAAAAGGATCTAGCTAACAGCTATCATGTTGATCTTCTGGAAGTCTGTATGCAGCAATTACTAGTCCTAGATTAACTTATTATCTGTTCTTAAATTGCCTAAAATGTAAACCCACCAATCTTCTAATGAGGTAAAAGGTTAAGTAGAATATTAGAAGTTTTGAATATGTAAGAGGTCTGTGTAAAGAGAGGTAATTCTGCCTAGGAGTTTGCTGGATGTTTCTTCCTGAGGTCTGCTTTTCAGTAAGTGGCATGTAGTAGTACAGAATACATTGCAAGAAATAAATTCTACATAAGAGCAGAATATTTCAGATTTAGAGGGTTAGTTTTTTTGCTCAAGCCTGTTTCATGCAAATGCTCATGTCCCGGGTGGGACAATATGGGGCACTTGGATTAAGAGCATTAGGTGATTGTTAACTGCTCTTAGACTGAGAATTCTAAGCTTTCTGACATTATTCAGGAAACTTAACAGTCTGTTGCTAACTGTAAACCCCAAGAGGATTAAATTGAGAATACTTCATGTGAAGCTTTATTTTTTTCAGAAAGGCCAGGAGGCCTTTGTTTGGGATTACAGTAACAGTTCACTTTGAGTAATTAAAGATTGAATTCAATAATTTGATTATACTGCCTGACACACATTAACTCACATACTTAAGTGTGACCACAACCTAAATTCTCTTGTGCTGAACCTAATGCTGCTTCAGACTGGAAGAACTTAGGTTAGCTAAAAATAATTTTAATTATGGATGGTGCTACCCAGTATTTCAGTTTTAATGTTAAGAGAGTTCTTGGGTCAACACTGTTAGAAAATTTCTGTTGAAGCCCATTGCAACATTTAGGACAGAGTGCCTAGTGGCTATTTTGAAGTCTATGGTGACTGCAATACAGACCAATCCCACCCAGAAGGTGTGAGCACAGGTAAGGACAGTTGGCACAACAAACCCAGCTCCTCTGGGTAAAAGCTGCTTCATCAGCCCAGGTTTAACCTCCCTGACAAAGGCAAGGTGGGTCACTGACAGTGGCTTTCCAACTTCCCAAAGCAACCAGGGGAATTTAAATTTATGACACTTGTTTCTCTGTGAATGAAAATGCAGAGCAGCAGTGGCAGCTCGTGTTCCCAGGGTGAGCCAGTAACAGCAGTGCTGTCTTGCAGTACCTCACGAAGCAAGTGGAGCTCCTGCGCCAGATGAACGACCAGCACGCAAAGGTCTATGAGCAGCTGGATGTGACAGCAAGAGAACTGGAAGACACCAATCAAAAGCTGGTTGCAGAGAGCAGAGCTTCACAACAGAAGATATTAAGGTAACAAACTTCACCCCTCTCCCCAGCTGGTAAAATCGGTGGGAGCAGTCCGGGGGTATTTGTGTAGCTCGTGGGTGGCTGTCTCTGCCTAGTGGTGTTCCACAATACTGGTAAATTGAAAGGACGGTTTTATTTAAAAGTCTTTCCACCTTTTAGCTTGACAGAGACTATTGAAAATCTACAAACACACATAGATGACCTGCAGCGACAAGTAGAAGAACTGAAGAAGCCTGAACGAGGCCGGATGAGCCACGAGAGATCTGACCAGCCCAGATCAATGCACAGCTTCTCCTGCTTGAAGGAGCTGTATGACCTGCGCCAGTAAGACTTCCTACCTTACATAGCAAAGAACAATGATGTTATTTTAAGCAAGGCTTTAAAAACTAAGACACAAGCACAGGTATCAGACAGGCTGGCAGAAAAATTAGCTGATGTTCACAAGTAGCAAAGTATCTGCCCTGTGTGGTGTTGCCACTGCGTCTGACGTACTTCTAGACCACAGTAGTATTTGTGCTCCACTTTCTGTCTTGATGGGTTCTCTCCCAGAGTCTCCAGCCACATCAAATGGTAGCTTAGAAAGCTTACAGCAATTTGCACCCCACTGTTTTCAGTCAGATAAAAGCACACACACAGATAATCTGAAAAACAAACTTGCTAAATACAAAATATTTTGTGTAACTTAACCTTTCTTTGGATGTCCATGGATATTTTCTTTTCAAAGAAGGCAGGATCCCTGCAATAGCTTTCCTGAACCTAAGCTGGTTAAAATGATACTGAAGCTGGTAAAATGGAGCCTGGAGCTCTGGGCTGCCTTTAAATTTGACCCAGCTGAGCTGCATTACTGTGCCCTTTGGGACAATCACCTGGGGTGAAAGCTCAGAGTAGCTTCAAGCCTAGAAAGCAATTTTGTAAGTGAAGCACCTCCACAGACCCAACAGGCTGTTGTGTCTGGGATTCAGCACTACATGGAGGTAGAATATTCTATATATTCTACTCTAGAATAAATCTGTACATCCAAAAATGACAATTCAAAGGATAAGTGGATCCTTCAAACTGCCAAAGGCTTGTGAGAATGTCATCCTACAGAACTGCCTTGTCAGTTCTGAAGCTGCTTTCTGCCATCAGCAGTGACAAAAGTTACAAGAGTAGAGCACTGTGGAAAAAACCGCTGTTGAAGTACTGCATGCTACACTGAGGCAATATTTATTTAAACTTAAATTGTAGGTCTGGTTATTCAATCAGCTTGTCTGTTTTACTTGAAACTGTTAATGAGCTGCCATTCTGCCTAAGCTGGGAGCTTGATTTGATGGCATGTTCGTGTTACAAACTCTGTTCTGACTCCTAAACAGACTGCCAGGTTAGTGAAGTGGCCCCTGTGAGTGCTCTGAGGGCTGTCAGCACACAGTTTAAATATGTCATTAGTTACTCAGGACAGGAAACCTTTAGGAGGTGTGGTCAGCTGGACTTCTTACCTTTGATAACACTTACTTTGTTTCTGCAGGTATTTTGTGTACGATCATGTGTTTGCAGAAAAGATTACTTCGATGGATAGTCAGTTAAGCCCTCTAGAAGAAGAAAATGAGAAGTTAAAAAAGGCAGTTACAGTTCTGCAAGCCCAGCTGAACCTGGAGAAAGAGAAGAGGGTGACCATGGAGGAGGAATACAGTCTTATGGTGAAAGAAAACTGTGACCTGGAACGGAGGCTCGTGGATACAGACTTGTACCGGGCGCGGGCAGAGGAGCTGGAAGCAGAAGTAGCCGAAATGCGGCAGATACTTCAGTCTGAAAACACGTTCCATAATGCAGAGAAATTGGTGCCAGAATCCTTTTTCATTTCATTCAGGGAATCTCTGGACAGGGAGCTCGGTCAGAGCCTGGCGGATGATGGACTTGTGACGGTGTCGGAGCTGGAGAAGAAGGCGCTGAAGCGGAGCAGCAGCGAGACCCTGCTGAGCAGCGCGGTGGGGGCAGACATCCTGAGGGGCCACGAGGAAACGTGTATTAGGAGAGCTGAAGCTGTGAAGCAGCGAGGAATCTCTGTGCTTAATGAAGTTGATGCTCAGTATAATGCTCTGAAAGTGAAGTATGAGGAACTTTTGAAGAAGTGTCAAATGGATGAAGATTGTTTGAAACACAAGGCTGTCCAAACGCTGAAGCAGTATTCCAAAGACCTAAATGTGGGGAACACCCAGTATGATCTCTCAGCTAGCAATCAAGAATTCACAGTTGTGGAGCTAAGTGACTCTCCCACAAATGCTCTTCCTGAATATAAAGCACTCTTCAAGGAAATTTTTAGCTGTATCAGAAAAACAAAGGAAGAAATAGATGAACACCGAGCCAAGTACAAGACCCTCTCCTCTCAACCATAACCTTATCTGTTAGTCAAGAACTTTACACGAATGTCAGAAGATCCCTTAAACTGATCTTGAGCACTCAAAATGAATGTTTTGGATTGGCTGATAGACCTGTAGTTAACAAGCCAGTTAGTTAACAGCTAGTTTCCCTGTTCCTATGTAGCAATAGATTTAATGTTTAGCACTGTCACACAAACTAGAGGTTGTAAAGCAAACAAACATCATAGCTTAATTCTACACTACTACTTCATATTACACTTCATCTGTGGCTGGAGCAGTAACTGACATTCATTTCATTAGTCCACTTCAAAACTAACAGAGCTCAGAACTGTCTCTCTCATAGGAGCCAGACTGAAGCTTTCCTTTGGTTCAGAATGATGATCTAGCCCTGTAACTACGCTGATGTAGAAAATAACAAAACCAAAGCCCCAACCAGTCTCATGAGCAGCCTCTCCTCAGTTCTCAAGGAGGAGGGGAGCAGCCTTCTGCTTGCTTTTGCAGGGCAGCAGAGCTGTGCTTGCTTCAAGCCAATACCACATTTTCACATGCACTAAGCTCTCCCACAGATTAGTATAAATGTCTTCCTACTGAGAAAGGATTTGATGTAAAGTTTGTGTGGCTTTTTAGGTATGGTTTCCTTTGTAGGGCACTTTGTCTTAAGGCAAGATACTGTGAATTGACTATGTATGTGATTTGGGACCTACTGTTCTCTGGTGGTTGCAAAGTACATTTTTATGTGTATTGGGTAAGATAGAGAGTTGTAATTTAGCTATTTAGCTTTAGTGGTAGCATTGACTTAGTGGAGTAGCTTTTGATGTTACGTACCACAAACTCCAAGTGCTCGAGGAGACAGGCCAGGTAAAACCTTACATTGTCTGTTGTTTCCAGTGGCAGCCCCTGTGCACCCATTCCATGCTGCCTGGGGGGGTGGGAGGACAGACACGACATTGCCAGCACGTATCCTACTGCAAATGGGAACACACTCTTGTTCTGCCTCTCCTTTTCCACTCCCACAGTAATTCATATGTACTTAAAGTCTGAAAAACAAAGAACATGGAGAAGTATGTTTAGAACTGTGTGAAGGAAACAAAGTGATTAAGGGAGGAGGAGGCACGATGAAAGGTGACATCCTGCTCCCTGTAAAGGTCCGACAGCTTAATGTGGCCAGCAGTTCTTGGGAATCAGCTACCTGCCTTTCCAAGTTGCTGGGATGTACCAAACATTGACACAGAATGTTGAGTTTCTCACCTTTAGTTCCACTGCTGCTGCTGCAGCTCTGCTGCCTTACTCTGTTCTCTGTCCAGCCTGTGTGTAGCTGCCCTTCAGCTGCAGTATTAAGACTTCATGTTGTGGGATTTTCTCTAAAACATGTATTACAGTCTGAAAATTATTTAAAAGTGGGAATCTGAATCTTTTGAATATTTTTCTAAGCAAATAAATAATCCAGTCAAGCTGCATGTGTAACTAGTAATTACATCCATCTGTGCCAATCAGCAAACAGCAAACTCGATGCAGATGGCGCTGGCATTATCTAGTCTTGCCATCTTTCCTACATAGATCAGATAGGGTTCCCATGAAATTTGTATTTTAGAAAACTTATGCTACATGGAAAAGGATAGGCCTGTCTAGGATAGAAATCCAGATGGAATTAAGTAGTTTCTCCTCATTGTTGTGGCTTTGTCAGTGCTGTTAAACAAGGAGGGGGTGGGGGAAAGCAGAAGAGCTTTGTTCAGCCATGAACAAACAGCTGCAGTTCATCAGGTTCCTGTGCTGTCCCTGTTTCCCCCACCTGGACCCTTCTCACCTGGAGGCCTGGCCCAGCTGAGACTGGAAAGCAGTAACCTGAGAAAGGCACGACATGGTCAGTCCCAGATGATTTCCTAGTAATATTCCTCACCACTTTAGAGGGAGGGGGATCTCCTGGAGATCCTGCTGGATCAGAAGATATGCAAAAGCAGTTCAGCATTTCTGGTTAAGTAGGTGAGCTTCAGTGGTTCATTGCTTCTGGCTAATTTAGAACACTTTGATATATACAACTTTTATGCTTTAAAAATACCAAAAATATCTCCTCAGAACCACTTGATTCTTCTGTACTGAACCTCCCCCTTGGCTGCCTGTGCCCCTGCTGAGCTCTGGCTGTGCAGGTTGTGCAATAACCCACTCCAGGCTGGCTCTTCTTTACAGCTTCTCCTAGAAAGCAGCTTTCCAGCCGTAGCCACAGGTAATGCTGGGTCAGTGCCAGCCAGGGCTGCCTGAACATAAAACACCTCCCAATTACACTGATGTAGTCAATACTACACTGGCATATTAAGGTAGAATTTTAGCAGTTTAAAAATAGCCATTTTCCACCCAAATGTGAAATACCATAAGTACGGTAACAGCATTCTTAGCCAATCTTATCTGGATTAACCACATTAATCTGCTTAGTTTAGTCAACAACTCAACTCAGCCTTTTCTGAGCATAAGTAGATGAAATCAATAGAATCCCCTTGAGCTTCTCATATGATGGAAGCTACAGCAGAGAACAGGACCAGTACAGTGTGTTCTGCAGTGCCCACAGCAGATTCTCCTGATCCTGCTGGAGTTGGGCTCCAGTGCTAAACCTGGCCCAGGGCTGGGTCGCTGTCCCTGGAGCAGCAGGCCCAGCTGCACAGCCCCAGAGGGCAGGAGACCAGCAGGGATTCACAGCCTTTGCTCTCCACCTCTGACCTCTGCTGCAGCATCCCTGACCTGGCCTTCCTCTGCAAGACTTCAGGCTGTGAAAGGAGCCGGGTGCCGCTTCCATTTCTCCCTGGACAAATACAAGGCAGGGTAGAATTGACCTTTGAGATAAAATTTTATTTAAAAATTACACAAAATAGAGGTTTTACATGGTTGCCGTGTGGTAACTACAGCTGGATGCCTTCCAGAGGGTGCCCTGGGTTACTTACCTCGCTGTACTCATTCAGTAATGCAAAACATCCCTCAAAACCAACCCCACACCAGGAGAAGAAATCCAGTAGTTGTTCCCTGTGTTTCAGATGTAGGTACTTTTCCAAATAACTCATTTCACAGACAACAGGTGAGAACAATTGCAATGTAGTACAGAGTTCACAGACAGTGATTTTGTTCCCCCCTCCCAGGCCTGACATTCCCATGAACATGACTACCTGCTCTCTATCCAGAGGGCTGCAAGGGCTATGACAATGCTCAGACTTAAGTATGAGCATCCAGGGATTTAACAAAAACTGGGATGTTTGTAAACAAATTTAATTTATTGGCATTACTTACAAAATAAAGTTTTAGACCATGATTTTCCATCATGTCTGTGTCACTATATTGTTTTATTTTTTTATAATGAAACAGAAGGAGAATTGAAATACATCAGAAATCCCAGATTACTCAAGCTGCAGACAGGGTCCCACGGTGCCTTCCCGGCTGCTCCCACGCAAACTGCGAGTGTTGGGATGTCAGTGACTGTCTGCAATGCCCACGTGCCCCGCGGGAGGTCAGACCCTGCCCCTCCCGAGGCCCGGCATTGCTCCGGCTGTGCCACCGCTGCAGGTTCCTCTTGTGTCCGAGATCACCTGACCCTGCTGTCAGGACTGCACCGTCCCCTTTAGATACCACATTCCACCGTAGCTCACACAGCAGTCCTGGGGAGACAGGGAAAGGCTTTGTCAGGGTGCTGAGGCGTTGGAAGAGGTTGCTCAGGGAGGTGGTGGAGTCACCACCCCTGGAGGTGTTTAGGAGGTGTCTGGATCTGGTGCTGGGTGATGTGGTTTAGGGGTTACAGTGGCAGTGCTGGGTTGATGGTTGGACTGGATGATCTTAAAGGTCTCTGCTGACCTTTATGATTTTATGATTCTAAACTCCAAAAGGTCTTGAAAACCACTGTCTGGCCCTGGGACAATGACTGTGATCAGTAACAAGCCCCTCTCCATGCACAGAACAGCACCTGGAGTGCAGGGTTATCTCCACCCCTTAAATGAAGGTGATACTCGAGTGGGGAAAGGTTGAGAGGCCACAAAGAGGACAAACGGTGCCACAGCAGTGAGGAACTGTGGTGGCTTCTGGGGGCAGAAACAGGCTCGAGCAGCAGCAGCTGAGGGAAGGATGTGTGAGGGATGAGCACCAGGGAAGTGAGGATAGGCACAGGCTGAAGCTCGGGGGGGAGAGGCTGAAGGGAGCAGCAGGACAGGGCTGGAGTGTGGGAGCAGTCACTGGATCTGAAGCCTTTTAAAAAAACCCGTTCTATGATAATGAACTGTCCCACCCCAGAGCCATGTTCTGCCCACGGTGGGGGAGCACCACAGCAAGGGATGCAGGAAATGGGCTGTCTCGTGGCTCATTTCCTTGTTTCTATTGCATGAGCACCAAGGCTCTGGAGTTCTGAGCTAATGGCTTCTCTTTCTTCTGCTCCCACCCTCCCACTCAGGTAATTCAACACAGGCACGAGTGCTGCCACAGAACTGACACCGTGCAGCTTCAACAGATCTTTTTTTCCTGAAGTTTTGGGACTCGTGAATGGCACAAACAAACCAACCCTGTGTGGAGGCTTAGAAGGAGGGTTTGCAGACTTGCTCTGCAGATACAAAAACACAAGCCCTGTCAGTCTGTTCCTCTGTGTATAAAAAAAGGAGCACAGGCAGACGGGGAAATCGGAGTCAACAAATCCAATTTCATTCAAAGAGGAATCCAATCTCTTGTGGCTTAAAGAAGCCAGAGAATCTTCCTATTTCATTAAATCATACTTCCGAATTTTATTTCAGAAACAAAGATCATTTCACATACTCCTGTGACAAATGTACTCAAGGCAATAAAGCCTGACAATGCCAGGCTGGTCACACAAGGACCTCTTTGTTTTTTACATAAAAACTGTGCGTAATTTTTTTTTTAGGGGAAGGTATTTTTTCTAGAAATTGGTGATCTGTTAAATAGCATCAGCATCATGAAAAACTAATGCCAGTACATTGTCTAGATGTTCCAGGAGAGCTGATACTTGAGCTCATGTAGTTGCTGACAACTCTCCCAGCACAGGGAGCCACAGGAAATACTGTCTAGCAGGCAGAAATGTCTGAACTTATTTCACTGCTAAGACAACCAGGTTCTTTCAAGCAAGACCAGTTTGCTTATTATCAAAGCAACAGATCTGTAATTCTTCAAAGATGCTATTATTCATCTGCAGATCACAATGTAATAAAGCACTTAAGCACTTGTCTTATTGAAGTGGGTGACAGTGAGCAAAGGCCCAGCCACAATGATTAAAGTATTACATTAGTTGGCAACTTTCTGCTTGGCCATCCTGCACTGCTTTTAAAGTCATGGCCTGTGTGGTCTGTACTTTATACCTTAAACTTCTTGAGCAAGTAAATGGTGCAGCTTCAAAGACAGATGAAAGGATTCAAATAAACATTCACAATGAGATGTGTTAGCTACTGCTTTGCCTGCTGGTTTTGCTCTTTACGAAGTTGTACATCCTGCTAGAGAATGAAATGCATTTCCTTCTGAATATGTGGCACTTGTGCTCTTCAGCATTACCCAGCCACAGTTCTGAGGTAACTCAGAACACTGGGCAGAACTCTCCCACCTCTGAAATGTTTAACTCCACATTATTTAAAAATAAGTATCACATTTACTACACTCTATTCTCTGCTGCTTCAAGATGACAAATGGAGATTTGTTACAATAACACAAAACAGTGTGTGAGCCATTGCTCCTTGGAGGGAAAGAAGACAGAATGAGACCAAGTGCATTTTTAAGAAAACAAGCTGATACAGAGGCTTTGTCCATATTCCAACAACAACTGTTCCATCATCCCTATCATTTGTCAATTCAAGGTAAAATATAATCCTTTGTTCAAACAGCATTAAATTTCACGTATTGACTGGATCAAATCCACAACTGAACAGAAACTTACCTTTAACACTCTATCCACCTCCTGCTTATTCAGATCCTCTCCACACTCCTGGCTCAGCTGGCTCTGGATGACATTCCTGCGCACTCGATAGTTTCTCGAAAAGATTTCAAGCAAAACTTGGCGATGCTTTAAAAGAAAAGGTATCATAAATACACAGAGAACAATCATTCCTCTCTTTCTTTGTATCAAAACTGCAGGTGCCTTAGTCCGCACAAAGCATTCTCTGAACTACATCAGAGGATTCATTCTTGCCTCATAATCCTGAAACCATCCCAGATACTCCTGCTTTCCAGCAGTGCCCTGCAGGGATCTCTCCATACCCTGTGGCCTGACCTGCACCTGTCCCGTGACTTGGGGCACCTCCAAAGGTACAAAAACCTGATGAACAAGGGGCTACAATGTATTCCTCTCAAATGCTTCCACAGGAGTTCCCATGGTCCACTCCAGCCAGGAGATGGGCTACTACCTGACTGTTCTTTCCTATAAAAATTTATTTAGATCGTGGACACAGGAGTTGCACTGTCCATCTGCAGTTCTTTGGGCACCTTCCCTTTCACCTCATTCACTCTCAGAGCAATTAGAGCTCAGGAGATGCTCACATTTGCTGTAATGATTTCCTATCCTAAGTACAGGTACAACAGACACTCCAGTTAGTCTCTGGTTTATGTTGCATTACCATCAAAAGAAAAAAAAACTTGGACTGGATCCTGGTGTGAGTCCATTGGAGAATCCTTTTTCAGGTTCAGAAATAGCCTCTCAGCTTGCTACTGCCATGATTATCAACATGTTGTGAGCTGAGAGCTTCCTTTCACCTGGAAACTGGAAACTTGACACTTGAATAGGGAAAGAGCAAAACTACCTCCTGTACTAGTTCTAGAAACATGGATTCAAACAATGCCAAATGCTCAATAAACATATATTTGTGAATGTCACTTATTTTATCTTTACCTGATCGTAAGTGTCACCAGCTTCCCAAAGTGCATAGACCTTTAGTTCATCTGGTGAGGCAGCAGTCTGTGGAGGAAACTGAGAACAAGAAGCTGTTAAAAATAACAGCTCTTTAATGAGTTCTGCTTAATGATTCTATGATACTGTATCCCTGGACACCCATTACTGAATCAAAACCTTGGTTGCCATGTAATGAGAACTGAAACAACTGTCAAAAACAGCATCAGCTGAGAGCACCAAGTGCATTGCAGGGTCTTTCTGGAGGTTTTTACATTTACAGGGGCAGGTTTTAACTCTATCCCGTATTTACCTGCCCGGCTAAACCCAGGTCAGTGTTCCTGACAAGCACAGTGGCTCTCATGTATTGTCATCTCTGTTTTGGGGTAGACCAGAGGACTGCAGAAGACTGAACACTGATGGACAGTGAATCAGGTACTTGCTCATTTCAGGCTCCAAAAATGACAGTGGGTTTGTGTGTTTGGTTTTTCCCCACGTGCCAAGCCAGAGAAACACACTAGTGTTTTCTGAGGCAGAAGCCTCCCACCCCAGGAAGGTTCACAAGAAGGTTCCCAGGAAGGAACACAACTGCCTCCCCCCGTGCCCCAAACTCTGAAAAAATAAAATTCCATCCATTTGCCTTAACATTTCCCCTTGAAGCAGCGACTAATGAGCAAGGAATATGCCTTCACTCTGACATGTCTCTTCCTGTCTGTCATTCACAATTTATTCCTTGCTCACCACCCAGACGACCTAAATCAATCAGTTATGAAAAGCTAACAAGCCAGTCCTGATTGTCCCAGGATCCCTCAATCCTGGCTGCTGGGACAAGCCAAACCTTTCTTCCCAGCCTCCCTCACAGCAACCAAAAGACTTGTGCATGGCAGAGTGAAAGATCAGCATTTCCTTTCATGCTTTGCCTCTGATCTTATTGCAAAGGGGAAGGGTTTTGTCCAGCGGGAGCTGCCTGGTGGGATTAGCAGCTTTTGCTCTCAGGTTAGTCCAAATGGCTGCAATATAACAAGGTTTTACACTTGGTTTAGAGCCAGGATTCCGGTTTATTAGGCTTGCAGAACCAGACATAATTCTCTTCTTGTAAGGCCACTTGTTTTTAAGGAATAATCTCTCTCGTACACTTTCAGCACAAATAAAATAAAATACTTCAGGTTCCCTCCAGACAACAGCTGCAGCAGGAATGGCAAATGCACAGCACAAGGAGCACCTGGACACAACCTGCCAGGCTCTGAGAAGGTGACTCAGCACAGCCCAGAAGTGCAAACTCCTCCTGCCTCGGCCACAGGGCTGAAACACAGCTGTGTTTATCCAGCCATTCTGGGAGGAAACGGCTTCCAAACAAACACAATACTTATTTGGGAAGAAAAACCCACAGAATCTCCTCCTCCCGTTCAGTCTTCCTCTGCAAACTGCTGCAAACACCGGTGCCAACAGCACCCTGTT